CGCACAGTCACTTCAATTTGCACATTTCTGCGCTTGGTCGGCTTTCTGTGAAGTATCTATCTCAATTATTGAATCACTGAGCATGGCGTGCTGTCTTCCCATCCAACATCCAACAGCCAAACATCCCAACATCCAACTATTTGCAATGGTTTCCTAACCCCAATGCTATTGTAAGCCATATCCCACTGCCCATATATGACACAAAGTGTTGCAGTATAGGAAAAAGTGTGGCACAGCGAGTAAGCAGGTTGTCAGCCAGTCTATATGCCCATCTATGAGTCGGAGTCATTAGACTTGGGTAACAAGCGGGAGTGGTTGTTCAGCTCTTTCTTCTAACACGGGGTATTTGCCATTTGGTAATGCTTTTGAGACAACTAAACAAAGTTTGACAAACTGATCAAATAAAATATGGCAAACAAAAAATTAGACTACAGTACTATTTAAATTTCCAATTTCCTGCTTAGGCTTAGTACTCAACCTAACAAAAAGTCGTCCAAAACAAAAAACTTCATATGAAAAACAACGTCAAAAAATTTTGTTTCATATGAAGTTTTTGTTTTGGACGACTTTTTGTTGGGTTGAGTACTAGCCCTTAAGTAATACACACACACCAAAAATTCGTTGCGGTCAAATCGACATGCGCATGGTAAATTTCTGGTATTACGCATATCGTTTTTCCCGAAATCTTCCTCTCTCGGAGATTCTCTGACTTCAAAAAAGAGAGAAAGAAGCAATCAAGCCTTAAATTGATACCACATAACAACAAATCGATCAAAGTTTCATATCAGTTTGGGTGTAACTCACATGTCAAAAAAGGTATATTGTAAGTATGGGTTTTCTTGGTATAAAACCAAGAACAAATTAACAACAAATTAAATTAAATCCAACCTGAGGTGTATGAAATTAGCCTGATATAATGAGTAAATTTAATTGAAGTGAGGCACTCTGTACTTCGAGATACTTGAAGAGATTTATGCCCACTCCAGTTTCGGGTTGACTTCCATTAGAGTTCCTTAGTTCTCGACTAGAGTGTCTCCGGCTTCATGGCGACCACTTTGGAGCTCTGCACTCCAGTTGAGTGTCGTTATTGTTACCATTTCATGACGATGTCGATGGCGATGGCTTGTCTGCGGTCTGCCATTCGACGACATCAAATGCTGCTAATGTTCATTAATAACCCATGCGTTAAACAAAAGCCCGTCTGGTTTGGTCGGTTAGATTGGAACTCTCATTGTGCGCAGCTCTTGAAGTTGTTAGTCTGGTTATGTTGTCACCAAGGAGAATTTACGTTGCTTGAAATAGGGGGAATAAATGGGGAGTTGAAACGGAGTAAATAGATTTTTATTTTTAATTAATCAAGATATATCTTAAAGGCTTCTGTTTTTTTTCCTGTACATTCCGCCAAATTCCATTTCATTGTTTTTGATGTCTTTATTAAGTCGTGGGTAGAGCAATTAGATCTCAGCATAATCTAAAACAAAGGGTCACCTAGTTATTTGCCAGAACAAAAGAATTGATTAATGAGAATTTTCGCAAGATAAAAAGCGTTTGTATTTACTTGCAAGAAATCGCATAATGAACTCATTGTGCCGTTCTCCGCAAAGGAAGTGAACAATTTAATAATTCTAGATTCGCAGAACATTCTTTTGAGGTTAAGAGGGCAGCCACGAAGTGCAAGCAGTGCAGTCAGCTCTCTCTGGCCATTAAATCAAATTGGCCATGGTGAAGTGAAAGTATGCAAAAGATGAATATGTAAAGCTCTTAATGAGGGGATCGACTTCAAAGGCACTCAGACTTGGCAATTGATAGTGTGGTAAAGTATGCGTAGATTGCTCATCAATAGTGATGCACTTTATATTTCATTTTAAATTTTATTCTGATACTAAAATTATTTTACATTATTTTATAGTTAGAATCATTTCATTAATGATTTGAATCTTAATATATTTAGGCTTTGAACATCTATTTAATAAAACTAGAAAACAATAAGACTTTCGAGCACATCCTGTGGTGCAAATAGCAATTAAATGCGAAATGCACCGGAAGTCGGGGAGGAATCCGTTGTTCAGGAAGCATATATCTCTCGAATGCTTGGATTTCAGTTTGCCAACGACCAATCATAATGGCAGCTCGGATCTCCCACTGCCAGCCTCCAAGTAGAGGGTGCAAACAAAGCAGACGGCAAACAGAACTCCGACTGCAATTAAGTTTAATGGAAGCTCATTAAGAGTACGAATTGTTTCTGCCCCGAGTGGAATCCGGGGGAGATGGCAAACAGTTGCATAATAAATACATGCAACTGGACTTTGGACATTGGACTTCGGACAGAGGGGATGGCAGATGGATGGCTGCCACAGCAATAACGACGAATTATTGAGGAAGCTGCCATTCGAAGCTGCCTTTCGCTGCCAAAGCGAGGAAGTCGCCTAATTGCCCCTGCAAATTTCTTTTTTGCATTTCAGCAACTCTTTCGCCAAGCCAAAGGGCAAAGATCAATTGCTGCTAGCCTGGCCAAGTGCCATCAAACAAAAAAATAAACCAGGAAAATGGCAATAGGGAAATGGTAGCTCAGTTGTCTGAATTTTTATGGATTTTGTCATGGCTTTTAATGCTGCCTCTGTCCTTGTTGCTGTGGCAATTAAAATGCAGCCGGTGGCATCTATTCACAGGAAAAAGGTATTAATTGTCAGCTTGTAAAAGTGAACATTTACAAGTGCCACCAGAAAAAGCGGACGGGAATTGCTGTGCGAATTGTGCAATAAACAAGGGATTTAGGTGACGCAAAAAGAAATTGTGGAGCTGGGATAAAAAAAGTTCGGTATTTGGCCTACTATGACACTAAAATACAAATAATGTGGTTCAGGAAGAAAAACAACTTCTTAAGAAACATAGAAAAATTCAGAAAATTTAAACAATATTTTTCAAAGGTTTTCTTTGCTTCTGCAGTCAGATAACTGATTAAGTTGCCTTATATATTTGTATATTTATTTTTTTTCGTAAGACGCGTAATATTAATAAACGATACTTGGATCAAAAAAGTACACCAAGCAATCATACTGCAAAACCCAGGAAAAACCCAGAAATGCTGGCCCTAATGACCCTGATGGCTGGCGGTGCTGTGGATTCCGTGAAATATCATCGACCCGTCCAGAAGGCTCCCTTCAAAGTGGTGGCCACATCGGTGAAAGGGTAAGCGTGATTTTCCCACCCCAAGCGTTGACAAATGAGATGCACTGTAGGTGTGGGTTCGGCTCGGTAAATCGCACGACAGGTGAACATTTAGGGTGGGACTTTGGGGGTGCCTTTCCCTCAAAGCATAGGGGATTCTCTGGGACTGTCACTGCACTTTGAGTTATCTACTTGGCGAGGGGTATTTCCGAAGAGGGAGTCTCATAGGTTTAAAAATTCCAGCAGTTTAAATTTTGTAAATTTCTTTGTAATTTTCGATTTGGGCTATCGAATTTAATTCGTTAAATTGTTTGTAAGGCTCTTTAACCATTAAATGTATTAGAAAAAGTACAACATTTATTTTGTTAGCATTCATGAAAACGACAGCTAAATTTAAGGACAGAAAAAAATAGTTTCTTATAGATTTATATATTTGTTTAACTTGAGAGAGAGAGATTCTATAAAGTTACATATGTCGAAAAGGGATTATAGGATTTTTGTCTTCACTAATGATATGTTTTATCAGAAAAAATATTAATAATGTTCCAATTTTAGTATTTTAGTATTTTAGCTATTAAGACTTGATGTTTAAATAAAATTAATTTACTTATTTTTTTATAATAGACCGTTAGGTTAGATATTTGGCTAAGGAACTTTCTTTATCCAGAGTATACGTGCTTCCGCAAGTGCTCAAATCGTTTGCTCTTCCCCCCTCTCGCTTTCATTAATGTCTCGACATTTGCATTTCATTAATAATGCATTTTAATTACGAACCATCGCAGTTGCAACAGCTCCTCAGTTGGTCGTCGTCTGTTTTTGCACTTTGTCTGCGGTTGGAATGGGGATGATATAATAAATATTTATAACGTCACGGGATTAAGGCGAAGACACCATCGCCCCATCGGTTTAATTCGGTTTCGATTCGGTTCGTTGGGCTATTTAAAATTTACAATTTGTTTATAAGGCGATTAATCTGAATAGTAGCCCTCTTCCATCGATTCTCTCACTCGATTTCCGCCAATGTTTAACGCTTCAGCGAATTTTCCAGCGTGCCGATGGCTTCGTTTTACGTTTTGCATAATTAAATCTATTTACCGGTCAGTCGCTGACTTTCCTCCCCCGAAGTAATGCCTTAAAACTCTACATTTATAACTCACACTTGTTACCTGTAAACTTGTTTTTCTTTTTGTTTTTACTTCAGTCTCTTCAGGCGGAAATGTTCGCTTTTCTTCGGGGCTTGGCTTTTGTTTTTTATTTTATTTTTTTCGCAATGACCAAGGCGGCGCCTTAAATGGCCAACACGGGTGACACAGAAAGCAAACCTTGGCAGTGAAAATAATGTATTGCCAAACGGTAGCTGGGCTTGCCGGTAAACTCCGAATGACTTGGCATAGTTTTCGCAGAGAAATTGATTTGTGTTCGCCTTTATTTTGCTTGTGGATGGCTTTTGCCGACAAAAAAATTAAATATTCTGAAGTAATGTTGATTTAGGAGGTGGGAAAGTTTACTTGCACTTAGCTCTTTAGCGTTTCTTCGACTTGTTTGTTTGCTTGCGTGCTAAATTTTTGTTTTTAGGTCAAAGAAGGTTAGATAAAAATGAAATTCCATTGTAAGTTTTGGAAGTATATTTATTCTTGCAAATTGTGGTTAGGGTACTACATAAATTTAGACAAAAATGTGAATTATTAGTTTTACATATTTGCATTTTTTTGCACTATAGATTGGTACTTCACTCTTCATAAAAAGCAAGCATCATATGCTGCGACATAAAGAATTCGCGCGATCTGTTACATAACAGCCGCATGTCCGTTAGCGTACTGTTAAGGCTTTTCTCAATATATAGGTGAAATGCTCACCTTCCGCAGAGTGGCCTTTCGATTTTCGGGCCGCTGTATATCAAAGGTGATCACCAGATCCTTGTCCACGCCCATTGAGGCACCAGCATTGTCGTACATTCCGCAGTAGTTGGGTGCCGAGAATACGGTGACCAACTGGCGTTTGGCAAAGAACTCGTAACCATCCTCGACCACCTGATGGGCCCGGCAAACCAGATCGAAGTCGTGCTTCTGGAGAAACTTTTCGATAACATCGCGGCCGTAGAGGTAGCTGACTCCTCGATCGCTGGGCGTCCAACCGAAACCATAGCGATCCGGATCGCTCCACAGCAGGTCGCAAAGCAGACCTGTCTCTGGGATTTCGGTAGGACGACCGATCGAGTCGATGTCGCTGAGATCCTTAAGCTGCGGACTGAGACCGCCGTGGCAGCAGAAAATCCTATGCGAAATGGTCGCTGCCACGGGCATGCAATTATAGCAATCCACAAAGGTCTTCCACAACTTCACCGTGTAGCGTCGCTTGCATTCGTCGAAGAAGCCATAGACCCGATTTACCGCCTGGGATTCGTGATTTCCGCGCAATAGATGAACATGCTTGGGATACTTGACGCGAAGGGCCAATAGCATAGTGATTGTCTCCACCGAATTCTTTCCCCTGTCCACGTAATCGCCAAGAAATAGGTAGTTTGTGTTCGGAGGATACCCGCAATGGTCGAGGATCTTCAGGAGGTCATAGTACTGACCATGTATGTCGCCCACCACACGAATGGGAGCCGATACCTCCAGTAGCATGGGTTCATTTAGAAAATGGTCACGTGCCAGGCTGCAAAGTTTGCTCACTTCTGCCTCGATCAGCGGAAGTCGCTGCAGTTTGCTGCGACGAAAGTTCTTCAGTCGCATGATCAAATCACTCAAATTGAGTATAAAGTTCCCCTGACCCTCGGTGTCCGTGTAATCTTCATCTCCCGACGTATTTTCCAGGAACAGTTTTCTACCCCGCCCTATCCATGCGGGCATCTTTTGAGTAGATGGTACTTACTACTTTTTTAAACTTTTTTTGTTTTAAATAATGAACTGACAGAAGAGAAAAAGCTGAATAACGCTACAAGTACAAAAAAATACTTATAAATTAAAGCGCTAGTCACAATTTGTCAGATTCATGAACATAAATAAATGATGACATTACAAACATTGATTTCTTAAAGACTAAAGTTTTTTTTTTTTAATTAATTACTAGTTTTGAAAAATGTGTGTATAATTTTGCTTTGAATTGCGTGGCAGATTTAATGGTTTTTATTGGATGGATAATAGTATCGTTGCGCTCATTATTTACCGATAATGTTAAACAGTAGGTTAAAATATAGAATATATATTTAAAAACAGTTTCACTTATAACAGTATATTTAGCATTAAATTTTAATTTAGAAATTGATTAGATAGTTCATAAATTTGGAAACCAATTCGAACTGAACGCACATTGTAACTTAATTGCGACAATAAATTAAAGTTGTGCAGCATTTGCCGGAAAAAGAGTAAATAAATTAGTGTGAATAATGTCTCTTGGCTGCTGCGACAAACGAGAAACAAGTTTTTCGCAATTGCTGGATGAGCGAAAAAATTATAGTTATGTTGCTGGCCAACGGAAACGCAGTTGGCACTACTAATTCCTTTTGGCCACTCTCGCTTTTTTTTTCTTTGTGCGGTTTCCTGCTGAAATTTTCCATTTTCTTTTCCTTTTTTTCTGTAAAGTTTTCAATTAGCGAGCTGTCGGCGGAAGTCGTACGTAAAAAATGCAAGCGAAAAAAATAGTTTAACAGCGGCGACGAAAAGGAAATTTCACCCACTTAACGGAAAGAGGTGGTGAATTAATTTGACGCGTCTTTCCAATTGATTTTCCAATTTTCACCTGCTTTATTTGCTTCTGTTTTGTGATTGCTCAGCGACGCTTGAAGAATTTTCGCAATAATTTCACAGCTTTGTGAATTTTCAAGTAGCAAAGTTTTGAGATTGCTGGTGGAAAAAAGAGAAAACCGATGACCGGGCGAAAAAGTTAGCATTTGTTATGGGCATAATTTAACTGAATTATTTTATGTTCCTTTAAGCCGCCTCTTGGATGTCTTATTGAGAAGTGAATTGTTGAGTAATTAATTGGAAATCGTAACTAATGGATTTCTTATGTCTTCCTTTACAGTGGTCGCTCGTACAGCAAGGACAGCGACTTGAGTTTAACGTGCAATGCCTCAACTCCGCGGGCATCTGTGTCGTCGGGAAGCGGATCTCCAAAGCTATTGGCTAACACTCAACTGCGTAAGTAGTCTAAAATTACTTTATAACATGCATTATTATCACTTTTTCAAAAGAAGTTTGGTGCGCAAAATAATTTGAGTCCCTAAAAAAAGCTAGAAAATGGTTATGTTAGGTCATCATCTCTCTGAAACCATTTATTCTGAAATCTTTATTTATGGTCTCAAAGCTGAATTTCAAATTTTTCAGTATTTAGACCACAATTATTACATTTATTATCTATACTAATTGATTTAAAATTTAAGTGCAGAATTTAAATAATTTTAATAAATAAGTATGCTACAAATTTCTAAAAAAATCCGATTCCAATTGTATATTCCCAAAAGTATGCTAAAAGAATTTACGATCACAATCTATTAACAAGCAGTGCAGCCAAGCAGTCCATGTTATGTTAAGTTTAACAGCTGTTAAAAAACGTTTTTTAACAGATGTTAAACGATGTCCACAAAAATGGACAACCTAAGAGATACAATAGAAACTCGCGCTCACCACAAAATAAACTTGGATTTCTCGAAGCGCAAACTTCAGAGCTGAACTGCTAAGTAGAATGCTCAAAGTTTTAAGCCGCGAACCGGCTTTTCATCGACCACCGAACCAAACCAGCTGCTGGCAAAGAGTTTTATTTCGTGGCAAAGAGCGGGAATGCGTGAGGTTGAAGTTGTGGATACAAAAGTATCTGGTATACGGTATGCGGTGGATACAACGAAGCGGCATTCAGTTGGCGCCGAGTTTTCAATGCGATAGTGTGCCGCTCGCTCTCCGTTCTTCGTTCTTCGCGTTCTTCGTGTTCTTCGTGATCTTGATTAGATCGCGTTTCGTGATCGAGGGGAAAATAATTACCAAAAGTGGTCATGAAAATGAAACAAGGCCCAAAGTGTTGTTTGTGTGATAGTGCGATCAGAAATCAATCAGTCAGTGTGTTCCAATAGTCCAATAAAGGCGCTACAAATTGCAGGCGGGTCAAGAGTCTATCACAAATGATTCAGCAACTGACTCCCCTAAAAATCGATTTTTTTGCACCCCTATTTGGTTTTTGCTTTTATATTAACCCATTTGTAAAACAGGTTTTCCAGCCTGTTCATAGAATGCCGGTTCGCTGGTGCTTTTATTTATTTTTTAAATGTGTGTAAAATGTTTTCAGGTGAAACAAAAGCATCGTCTGGCATTTCCAGACTCACTCTTGACCACTGAAACCCGAAACCCATCCAACCACCTTTGACTGCATTCATTTGGTTTTTTTTACCTCAAAAACTCAAACCTTGGCGTCATTTCTGTGTACTTCAAATTGGTATTTATTTCGCTGGTCCCTCGCTTTTTTCGTGTTGACACTGAATACCCAAAGTTTAAACGAAAAAAAAAAGAAACATGTACAATTTTCAGAGTAAGAATCGCATTAACGTGGAAGGCCAATCAATCAATCAATCAGTGGGTGCTCCCCCTTTCATTTCTCTTTTTTTATTTCTTCTCAGCCCGACAGAGAATTCTTCTGGGCTTTCCTTGGCCATAAATTATGTTGGTCGTAATCAGTTTTGTTACAGTTTGTGCCTTGGCTTTCTCACGAACTTTTGCGAAGCCGCAAAATCGTAGTTGCCTCTCTGTCCCTCCTTCTCGCCCCCTCTCTTTCTATCCCAGACCCGATTACCGTTAGCTTTTGTCTAGGAGAAGAATCCGCCAGGTGAAAAAAGGGGTGGGGAAAGAGTTCATTTACCTATGGCAGTTGGAAACGTGCCGCTCGTCGAAGCTCCGGGATCAAACTTCATCGTCATTCAATTGGAAGCTCCAAAGGGGGATTTCTACCCGACTTACCTTTACTTTTGTCCAGCTGCCAAAGCCCCGCGTAATGTAATCCCATAATGAATGATTAAGTCGGGGGTGATGGGATGAATATAATGATGCCGGGTTATAAGCTTCTTTCGGGGCTCACTTAGGTGTGCGGAATATTTGAATGAGATCACTGAGATCTAGTGACATCAGTAAGATGGGAGATTGAAGATTTGCTTCTTATTATTTTTGGGTAAATACAGGTAATATTTGCAAAAGAATTCAAGTGAAATCCAAAATGGTACCACTCCCTAAATAAATGAAATCTTAAAACTCACATCTTTTTTTAAGAACTAAATTCCTTATTTTAATTAAATGCAGAATTCCTAAGCTTAACTAAAAAGTTATGGGAAAAGTTCAACACCTATAATAAACCGAAGAACATTAAATCCAAGAGAACTATTAAATCCCTTATCCGCTTATGTTTATTGGAAAAATCATCAGTGGGAAATTGCCAGTGGGCGTAACGAACTGTTTCGCTGCAGAGGAATGTGTCTTAATGTTCTATATCCGTAAAGTCCGCTCAACGGATATTAGCCCTATATGGTTAGGCATGTTTAAGACTTTATTTATGGGTTCCGAACTGCATGGCTAGTTGTGGCATAGGGTTTTCTAGACTCTCTCACCTCCAAAGACGACACCTGTTTCCGGCCTTGTCTACTGGTTTTGATCAGGTCTCTTTGAGACCATTCCGCCGTTGGCTCTGATTTTTCCACAACTGGCTGCTGGGGCTATAATTTTCATCACACAGTCGACAGTTCTCTTTGGTCTGTTGTTAGAAAACAGAAGGCACTTCAGTGTGTGCGTTTGTATCTGTGTGCATTTCTCTCCGCTTTTTATCTGTGTATTTTTGTGCGGCATGAACGACTCTTTCTTAATTTTCACTTGACGTGCTGGCATGCTTTTGTGCTTTTTTACATTATTATTATCATATTTGCATTTTTTCAGCATCTCTCTGCTCGGCTTGTCTGCTGTCTCCTCTCTTTTTGCCGTGCATTAAATTATTATTTACTGTACAGTGTTGCCTCGTTGGGGAGGAAGATACTCCTGGGGTACGGTCTCGGTTTCAGCTGTTGTCTCGGCACGGAAAAAAATTCCTTATCAATAAAAATATAGCTATATCTGAATGTTAAAACTTAACTTTTATCTGAAATATAAAAAAAATTTAATATTTTACACAATTATATGAATCTTATTTGTATAATTTGGTGAACATTAAATTATTTTCGGTTAATAATAATAATTGTAAGTTTTTCTCAGTGTACCTGAGTCTGAAACGTCGGCGGCAACTTTTGTTTGCTTTCAGTTCGCTCTACCTCCACTTCTCCCTATCTCCCTTTCACTCCCCCCTTTCTTTCCGTCTCCCTCTTGCAATGGCGCTTAATAATTATGTGGGAAATTGCAAAATAATGCTAGACAGAAATATTTCTTTCATTTTCTGTGCTTTGTGTGTTTCGTTTCGTTTTTCTGTTTTTCTCTGTTTTTTTTTGCATTTTCCATTTGCTGTTTTTGTATAATTCGCTTAACTATGCGAGAAAGTGTTGTGGGCGTTATGTTGTAAAAATTATGCTGCAAATATCAGCAACAACAAAACTGTAACACCACCAACTAAAGCAACAAAATGAAATGCATTCAAATGGTATTGCGGCAGCTTTTCAATTTGCCAACTTGGCTCGAAGTGAAGGTTGCGCAAAGGAAAAAAAACGGAATTTCCATCAAGGAATTTTTCAGCATGAAATGACGCGAGAAAAGTCTTTCTAAAGAAAATGAAAAGATAAAAAGTGTGGGGGAAATTAAAGGGAAGAAGTCTCCAGTTAAAAGAAACTCTTTAGCCTCACCCGCAGTTATTTTTTTTAAACAAAACTAAGAGTCTTAATATTTAAATTCTAGTCATTATTAGGTGGTTTATATTTTTCATCAATAAAAATGAAAGTTTCTACTAATCCGAATAAAAGATTAAATTACACCGTATCTAATTTTCTTAGATCAGTGGTCCGAAAACTTTCCTATTCCTTAAAGTCCTATACCCTTTGGCTATAATTCGATTACCATAATTGCTTGGAACACCCAAAAAATTGATACCCTTTCCAAATCCAAAGCAATCTCACCTCAGGAACTACAAAAATATATAGGTATATCTTTAGATAGCTGTCAACTTTCACTTGATATTTTTCAATCGATGCAATCGTTAGGTGTATTGTTGTCTGACTTTTTTCAGCTTGATTTTTTTTTTTTTTTGCATAATTTCCTACGGCTCTTGATGTTGTTTTTGTTGTTGAATAAGAAACGAAGGCGAAACACTTTTCATTTTGGCATAATGAAGCGCTTATATGCCGTGAACATGTGCCTGCCAATCACAGAGACCAAAAATGGTCCGCTAACCGGGCCAAAAAATCAGCTGTTTGTTTGCCGGCCAAACAAATTTTTGCTCTGGTCACTGAACCAATTCCATTCGGAGCTAACTAAACTGGGCTGCCGATGTGTTGATAATGCTAACGAAGATTGAATTGGCTGGGGTTGTTATTGTTGCATGTACCATATATCGCATTTCAATTCTAGCGTGTCCAAAGCGGTTGGAACTCTTTTGCTGCTGTCAGTTTTAACGAGCTGTTTAAATAAAAATAAAACAGGAGAAATAAAAATAGAGCATTTAAGGTTAGTTTTTTTTTTTGATACTTTAGTGAATTTAGCGGTGAAATAATAAATAAAAAAGAAACTATTCCTAGCTTCAAACATTTTACTTGACTTATGCCCATTTTACTACTGCATTTTAAAGAGTATTTTCTTATTCACTCACCATTGAGTTTTCCATCCCACGATTCACCTGCATTTCGTGTTTGATTGATCGCTGCATTTAAAGCCGAACGTTGTCTTCTTGCCGACTTGTTAACGAGTGAAAGACAGGGAAATGAGATGAGACCCCCGAATACCCGATGCTTTTAAGCTCTGTTCAAACAACATCAACTTGATCACGCATTCGTGGCTAATTTGCATATCGAACTAAGTCTTGACTGGTCAAATGGATCCGCTCTTCGCGGAGTCGTATGCATTAAGTGCCCGATTTTCAGCTTAATTCAATAAATTAATTGTGTCGTTAGAGACGCTCAACTTTTACCACGCACTTCCTGTGGGCCATGTGCACGTAACTCGGGTTGCTGGAAAAATTATAGTGTAAGTGCTGG